TGACTAAGGGAAGAGCCCGTGGTGGGGATCTGCTTTCCGCCACTCCTTTAAAGGTTTGCAGGAATCTTCGTGAGTCGACTGTGGGCTTCAGGAAGGGGAGCTCGGTGGACCTCTTTCAAGTGGGGCCGGTTCTGTTGATGTTGCGATTTCCTTAAGATAATAGTGCTTTGAGCTTCCATAGTTAAGACCCTGAGAGCATCTTTCCGTTTTCCCATTTTTGTATTTTCCTCCTCACAATATTTGCAGGTTCTTCAAAAAGACATCCCGTGTGGTTCTCGCAGGGATTCACAGCAGGCCTTCGCGTCGGAAGCTGGGGAGGGCAGGGGCGTGGGAGACGAGGGCTGAGTGCACGGGGCAGGTGCCCTCGGTGCGCTTCCTTGAGACGTTGCCTGTAAGTTGCAGGCCCGGCTGGCGCTGGGTGAAGCCTTCAAGCTGGTTTTACAGGAAGCCCGAATAAGGATTGAAAGCTATATCCTCTGGTGTTTGGGTCTCTTGAGAGGAAGTGTCTAGGCTTTGGCTGGGGGGTAGGGGGGCGTCGGGGAATCAGAAACTTTAAGCACCAAGGCTGGAATGTAAGAGCGTGGTGTGGACTTTCTCTGGCGGCAAAGGCGGCATTGCTCAGCTGTTTTAAACGTGCAGAGGATTCCGGCCCCCCCCCCGCCGCCCCATGGAAGAAGGGGGCAGTGCAGGCGCGTGCTGTTGGACCCGCGGTGGCCTGGGTGCTGGCAGTGGCTGGGACCACCTGAGGCTGCCCTCCTGCCTCCGCTGGAGTGGGTGGGGCTGTGCCCACGTCTTCCTCCTGCTCAGGCCTGCAGGGCCGGATGCGGCCTCGTAGTGGAAGCAAGGCCCTGCTGGGCAGGTGTTTTGCTGTTTGTGGACTGTTTACCGTGCACTGGGAGGGGGGTCTAGGTGGCTGGCCCTCGGAGGAGATGATGGAAAGGGGCGTTGGTGTCACACGGCTTCCTGGTGTCCTTTCCTGACAGATGAGGGCTTGCCCCGGTGGGAAGGACACCTCCGGAGATTCCCATGGCTGGCAAAGGGGAGACAGGGCTCCTGGGGTCCCCTCTGCCCCACACCTGGATGGCCCAGTGCTGGGGACTCTGTGTATCCCCAGAGAAGCCTTCCTTTGGCTCCGGGAGGGCCAGAGTTGCAGGGGATAGCAGAGGAGGAAGGAGCACACCGCAGAGCGAGCTTCTGATGGTTCCAGCAAGTCTTCTCACTTGAAAAATTCATTTTATCTCCAGTGGCACTTGTCGGTGGTCGTTTATGAACCTTGACCAGCTGAGCATTTGTGCTCCATGAATCTTGCTTCGTGGCTGGGTTTTGGTTTTTTGATTCCCTTGAATTGGAGAACTTCTGACATCTGACCTCCTTTATGAACCAGCTTAGTGGTCCAGTGCAGTCTGCAAAAATTATTTCAGAGCCACCAATTTCTGGTATTTTTTTTCCCTCTGTAAACGTGTTCCAAATGGTTCTTTAAGCATGGAAGATGTTTGTGCCCAGATTGGGTCATTAAGTGAAATGTCAGCAGTCTGTTTCATTTATACTTTTATATATTACATCAAAGTCAACATTTGAGGGGATGAAATAAGCCCTCAATAGAAGGAGATACACGGAAATCATTTGTCCTGTAAAATCATCATAAATAACATGCAGCCATCGAAGGCCGAAGCAGCTTTAGAGGATAAATGAGCTTAAATTGCCATAAGGAGGTGTTCTTGTTCAGCTCACTTGTTTATCCAGTTTTAGGGGGAGTCTGGTTTTTTGTTGGAGTCTAGCCGGTTTACAACGCTGTGTTGGTGTCTGTGCACATACAGCATAGTGATTCAGTTACGCATGTAGGTTGATTCCTTTTCATATTCTGTATCGTTGTAGGCCGTTGCAAGGTACTGTGGTTTTTACCCTTTTTTCCTGGGAGGCTCCTGTCTCACGTCTCTCTCTCCCTCTCCTCGCGGGAGGGGCTCCTGCACTCGTTCGTGTAGAGTTAGGGGTGTCTGTCTGTGTGCAGCTGTGTTTCCTGCCTCTTTCCACTTTGCTGCCCAGTCAGTTGGTTTCTTTAGCACGGGAAACTGGCTGGCCTGAGGCTTTCTGGAAAGGTGTGAGAACACATGATCTGAATGAGCTTTCTGCCTCTTGCCTGGGTCTCTGGGAGGAGGCGTTCGGAGAGAGCAGGAGGTGTGTTTTTTTCCCAGATGGCAATGGTGCCACGTGGTTCCTACCCCTGTGATGACTGGAGCGATAGCGTGTGACCCGCTCAGAACCCCTGGGAGTGTTTGGGTCACACCCCCTCCCGCCCCTCCTCTGTGTCTGTTCTGGTGAAAACGTGACAGGTTGGATGACCCAGAGCGAACAAGGGTCTCTGGGGACAGGACCTTTCATCCGTGAACAGACGACGAGCCGTGTACCCTGTCTGCCTGAAAACCAGGAGCGCGCAGCTGCTTTGTGTCTTGTAACTTTTAAAATATGAGTGTATAGTGTGTATGAGGTTGGAAGTTTGTAAAAAATGTGGCTTCCCTTCTACGTATTAGAGCTTTTTTAAAAAAGAAGAATCCGCCCATCTGTGCCTTTCTGTGCAAGTCTGGAGCCTCCCCCAGTAGGGAGACCTTCAGAATCATTAACTCAGTTGTTTCTGTTTAGAGATAAGAAGGATAAACAGATGGGGCCCCAGGGGTCTGCGTGTGCCCCTCTCCCTTCTGACCCGGCAAAACACTGTCCCGAAAGACGCCATACCTCCCTCCTGTCCCTTCTGGTCGGCTGCTGGTTTCCTTTATTCCCCTTATCACGAGTCAGATGGAAAGTCCTGAGGTAGCTGCCCGCAGTGCGGGCTGCCTCAGGCCTGCGTGGCGGTTTGCAGTCGTGTAGGTGGGCTCCCCTGCAGCACGGAGGGTTGCTCGCCACGCACCCGGCACAGCGCTGGGCGTCCATGTCCATTTGGCCTCGGCATGTGCACCGGGTTTGGGAAACACCCAGGCGTCTGGAGGAGTGGCCCAGATCGAAGCCAGCCTCTTGCTCTCCAGAGGGGGGATGGGCGTGAGAGTGATGGTGACCACAGTGTGACACCAGCTGTCACTGGGCTCAGGCCCCACCTCCCTGGAAGGGTGGTGTGGGCATCCCACCTGTGGGGAAGTGGGGAGACCCCACGACCTGCTGGGATGGGGAAGGTGTTCTGCCCTGGGCCTTGGACTCAGCTCTGCGGCCGGTTTTGGGTGCCTTTTGTGGGAGAGTGAGAGAAAGGACAGGACCAGGTCGGGAAGGGGGAGGTGGTGGGATGAAGAGTTCAGGCTTTTTATCTAAGACACAGCGAAGACCAGTTGTCACTCTGGCCGCGGCCTGGTGGTCACTCACCTGGCAGTGGTGTCCGTTGGGGTGGCCGGGGCCTGGAGCAGCAGACCTGCAGCATGGGCCTGCAAGGACCTCTGGGCTCTGCCCCTGCACTTGGTCGCTTCTCTGTCACTAAATCATCTGTGTTTCTTAACCAAGACACACGGACCCGCTGTAGGGCGCCTTTCCCGGCTCTGACGGCCTTTGTAGCTCACTTGTCCTGCACGTGCCCCCGTGTCCTCCTCCCGGCCCGTCCTTCTCCTGGCCCATCTCCCTCCATCCTTGTCCCCAGAGGCTCTCCTGTCCTGTCGCCTGTGTTCTTCCCTCCCACCAGCTCTCTCACTACAGTCCTTCATTAAAGATTTTGACATCTTTGTTAAAGAATTGTTTTAGTGCCTATTTATAGTGATTTATTTTAATGCTGCAGCACACAATTATGATCAGTAATTAACTGTTTAATTATCGCTCTTTTAAAGGAAAGAAAAGCTGCTTGTGTGTGTGTGTGTGTGTGTGTGTGTGTGTGTGTTTAAACTTTCGCAGGGGCTTCGCTTCTTTAATCTGGAGGGATTGGTATTTTAGAGAAGGAGCAGGCCACTGTCGCCGGGTGTTACCGGGTCCCTGTGGATGCGGGAAGCCTGGTTCCTAAGGTCTCCGTGTCTTCTGTGTTTCAGGTGCCCGCCGCCGCCTGCCATGCTCTCCAGGTAGGACATGCACGTCCTCGGGGCAGGCGCACCTCAGCAGCTGGGAAGCAAAAGGCTCACCTGAACATGGAGAGATAAGACGCTGTCTGGCAGGCCCCAGAGACAGAGTCGCGCCCACCCCCGCTGGGCGAGCCCCGGGCGTCAAGATGGACAGCAACCGAGAGGCCGAGATGGAACTGAGGAGGGGCCCCAGTCCCGGCAGGGCTAGCAGGAGCCCCGAGGCGGACGGGGACAAGGCCCTGAGCCACAGCTGCTGCATCTGCGGCAAGAGCTTCCCGTTCCAGAGCTCGCTGTCGCAGCACATGCGCAAGCACACGGGGGAGAAGCCCTACAAGTGCCCCTACTGCGACCACCGGGCGTCCCAGAAGGGCAACCTGAAGATCCACATTCGCAGCCACCGCACGGGAACGCTGATCCAGGGCCACGAGCCCGAGGCCGGCGAGGCGCGCGTGTCCGAGGGCCTGGACGGCTGCACCAGCCCCACGAAGAGCACTTCGGCCTGCAACCGGATCCTGAACGGGGCCACCCAGGTGGACAACGGCAAGATCCTGCTGCGGAGCAGCAAGAAGGAGGCGGAGGGGGCACCCGGCGCCGCGGAGCAGGGCCAGGCGGCGGCCGGGCAGTGCGCCTTCTGCAAGAGCAGGTTCGAGCGCAAGAAGGCCCTGGAGCAGCACATGCAACAGGCGCACAAGCCCTTCAAGTGCCGGCTGTGCAGCTACGTGACCCTGCGGGAGGAGTCCCTGCTGAGCCACATTGAGAAGGACCACATCACGGCGCAGGTGCCCGGCGGCGAGGCGTACGCGGAGAACGGCAAGCCCGAGCTGCCCCCGGGCGAGTTTCCCTGCGAGGTGTGCGGCCAGGCCTTCAGCCAGACCTGGTTCCTGAAGGCGCACATGAAGAAGCACCGGGGCTCCTTCGACCACGGCTGCCACATCTGCGGCCGGAGGTTCAAAGAGCCGTGGTTCCTGAAGAACCACATGAAGGCGCACGGCCCGAAGGCGGGGAGCAAGAACAAGCCCAGGAGCGAGCTGGACCCCATCGCCACCATCAACAACGTGGTGCAAGAGGAGATGATCGTGGCCGGCCTGTCCCTCTACGAAGTCTGCAC